ATATTAAATATTAATTGTTGCCTTTGCTTTTCTGCATCTGTCTGGGTTTCACAAAGGACAAAAAAATAATTGCATAGCAATCACATAAAAGCCATATGTTCTATTTATAAAATTGACTAGCCATGGTCAGCAATCACTACCAATGTCTTTAACCTCATGATGATATTATAGTTGATATTTGTCTTTTAATAAAATATAAATCACTTTTTACTCCCTGAAGCTAGCCTTACTCATGCTAAATTATTTATGTATCCATTTTAATATGTATTTTGCAAGCGACAGGACAACTCTCCTTAGGACCCTTTTATTGACCCACCTGTCATTATGATGGAGTAAACAATGTCACCTTTCCAGAGCACAATGAATTACAAAGAAGTTGCAAAGTACACTATCCATCATGCTGGCACTAAGTAGGTTTTTGAAGTAGATCTCAGACATCACAAATTTTGTTTAGACTGTTACCAGAAAGCAAAAATTGGAAGCTTATACAAATGGTCATATGATGAATGGACACGACAGTCTTCAAAGACAAGGGGAACTCCTCTTCTACAAATAACCTTGTCAAAAGCAAAAGTAGTGGGGAGCTTTACTGGCAGTCAGACTAGAATAATTTAAGAACGTGTTAATGGCTCTGCCTGAGAGAAATTCATGCAAACACAATGTACTCAAAATCAAAAGGAGGTATGCCTGAATCAGCAGCAGCAACCACTCAGGCTTGATTGGAATTAGGGAATGGTCTGAAGAGATACAGAAACATCTCCAGTGCTCTATTAATTAGAATCTATGAGTCTCACTAATGTATCTATCTAAAACATATATAAAATATCTGCAAGTATTCTATATAAATATAAAATGGTCACTTAGAAATTGCTTTGCATTGAAAATCATACTAATATAGTTTGAGATTGAAAAAATCAGTATCAGTAACTTACTGTATCCCTTTGATATTGATATTTAAGTTATTATGTACTTAGATAATAGATTTGCACTATTAATATAATTTTGAAAGTACTTATTGTCAGTGTCTTCATCTAATTTGCGTGGTTAATTTCTCCAATTATGTTCTTGAAATACAATGTGTTTTATCCACAACTGCATTTTAATTCCTGTAACAGCCCCTTTTGTTCAGAACTAATATTTCAAAACTGGAATGTATTTTTACATCTATAGTCAAATTTATTTTCTCTATCTTAATAGTTGCTTTAAGTCCTTACAAACTTTTATTTATTAAAAAAAATACCTTTTATATCATTTAAAAATGGTGAGGAGGGTCTCAAATGATGATTTATGACTTCATAGGCATTTGGATGGAGCCCTGGTGGCACAGTGGTTAAGTGCTATGGCTGCTAACCAAGAGGTCGGCAGTTTGAATCCACCAGTCACTCCTTGGAAATCCTATGGGGCAGCTCTACTCTGTCCTATAGGGTCGCTATGAGTCAGAATCAACCCAACAGCAACAGATTTGGTTTTTGGTTTTGGGTATTTGGATAATCCCATGATTCTTCAGAAGACCTTAGTTTTATATGAAACAAAGAAAAAGTGTAAACATTTATAATTGATGAGAAATATGTAGAAAACTCTCAGAGATACGGTTACACAGGAACATAAAAAATTCACTCAGTTTCATTAACAAAATGGTGGAAAATAATTGATTTTGTAAAAAATAAATGAACTCTCTTTGATAGCAAGCAGATGAAACCAACCAACAGTTGGTTCTCTAAGTTACTCGCCTGTGTCAAAGCCTGAGAAATTGGTGTGCACTGATTTAGCTGTGAAAGATAGAGACATAAGGGGAATGCACTGCTGGGCCCTGCTCGTCCCAAATGTCTTGGCTTTCACAGAAACCTTTGATAAAACAGGCTGGGAAGACAAAATACAAAGGCTGTATTCATACATACATACACAGTTTGAAAAGTTAAATATATTGTTTTCAAGAAAAATTTAATTCAAATATTTATTGCCCTCTTTTTAACAAGAAAAACAGAGAGGAAAAGAAGAGAAAAAGAAGGAGGAGGTGAGAAGGCCACATTGTTGTATTTGGTTAAATAGAGCAACTGTTTCATATTAAGGGATCTGAAAAGATGGCTATTGAACATTTAACAGGAATACATATAATAACTACTTATTCCCTACAGTTTCTTATTCTAATGAGGAGGGGAAGGGAGAGGGAGAGAGAGAGCCATCAGTATCCTTAGAATTCAGATTTCTAAACTCTGATGATATGAAAGGGAGCAAAAATGGAGCTGAAGTCAAACTGAGGAGTGATAAACCTAGGCTCTATAAACAATGACTGCTAAATTTGGAAAATATAATTTGGGCCTGAATATATTTTAATTTTTATATTCTTACTTATAATCACAGTGTATCTATAATCTGCCTGCAAGTGGGCTCAGTCCTTAAAAGTAAGAAGCATGCAGCTATAGAATTTTCCATTTTCGCATATTTATTTTATCTATTCCTTTAAAAAAAAATCAAAACTTCTGTATGTATTAGTGACTTTTTTTTTTTAAATTAAGGGCTTAATGTACATTCAAAAAATGATGTTACCATAGTGTGTGAAGGAGCTTAACAATGGACACCATATAGGTGAACATCTATTGCAGAACACTGAACACAGAGCACTTGAATATGTAGTTGCCTAAATGCCCAAGTATGGGAAGATGAAGCAAATGAAAGGTGAATATTATATGTCTCAGAGCAGCAATCTGTTAGGAGAGAAGGCTGACTAATATTTTTTTCATTTTGATTTGGCAACGTCTATTACAGAATATAAGGAAGCAAACATACATAATACTCTGTTATCTCAACATCTGCACAAACATTGTGGGATAGTGGCTTTGCCCAGTATTAGAAAGATAGGGCCAAACAGATTGTTCCAAACTACCTTTCCATTGACTTTGCTCCTCCCTTACCCCCCCAAACACACACCTCTTCCCTGAGGATGTAGGCTTACTGGTGGTGAGTATGATTCACAAACCAGGAGCGTATGATGTCTGTGTCTGTTAATATTCCTTTTAAACCAAAGCAAATAGATTTTAGGGAACAGCCCCTCCCCCACTCTCATTATTATGGAGTAAGCCCTGAGTATAAAGAGCAGTATATGAATTCAGGTTTCTGGATCCAGTGAATCTGCATCTTAAACAGTCAATTAGCAACTCTATTCTCCTATAAGAGACTTTGGAAACCAAGGGAAGCTGCAAAGAGATGTATCTTTCCTTGATCTGTGTGGGGACTGGATTGCTGTGGCATGAAAATGCAAGGCTATTTTTTTTTTTTTTTGTGGACTCATATCTGTGAAATTTATTCAATCATTCTACCTCCAATCCAACGGGAACAGCAGATAATTAAAGAGGACCACGCTGAGGAAACAGAGACGCAGGTAATTCCATAATTTTTCATATCACCTCAGCCAAGGAATAATCAATGTTCGCCAGAAGAGGTTGAAAACTCAGGCAGGTGGGGATGGTTCCAAGGACCCATTCAAGCTCCTAATGTTTTTGTTGTTGCTGTTCTGTGTTTTCCACATGATTTTGATTAGGGGAGGAGATTATCTCGCTGTATGTGAGTCAATTGGGATAAAGAGGAGGCTGCAAATAAGTGGGGTTTATGCATGACTAGAAGTTTGAGAGAAATATGTGAGGTAACTTTAGAATCTTGGCTTAACGTCAGAGCTTCTGAGCCAAGGAAAGAGGTTGGCTGTCTTCCTCTGTTTTTATTAAAACACAGGTGTGTTACCCACATTGCCTACCAGGAATAGTGTATATTAATCAAATCAAATTACAGGAGTCATACACTAGAAATATTGCAGACATTTAATATTATATTAACTTTTACTTACTGTAAGACTTATCAAAGTAGTTGTTGGTTATAAGTAATCTTTTTGCTAAAGTCAGAGTATAAGGCAACAAGAATTGAAGTAATGTTGAATCACCAGTAAAGCTGCTAACCTCCCCAAAAAGAATAAAACAGTATTAGAAATAAGCATGCACTGTTATTTTGAGTATTTCTGCAAGGTAACTTTTAAGTTATTTAAATTTCCTATATGTTAATCACAGTTAATATTAAGCTAGGTTCTTAAAAATTACAACAATAATTACCAAAGACCAGAAACATTATTTAATTTATGCTTAATGAGGTAATCTACAGTTTTATAAAACAATAAATTTGTTTATTAAAATGATACTTACACACTGTGGCAGAAAACTTGTCTATATAAAGAAAGCTAGTGACCAATTATACACTGTTATATCTAACTGGTATATTGTCCTTACTATGGGTTGGACTCTGTCTTCTGAGTTCTACATATGTTAGCTAATTCAATCAACACAACCTTATGAAGTTAGAACTATTATTATTCCTATTACAGAGTGGAAAACAGTCAGCTCTAGATGGTAAGTAACAGCTGGTAAGTAGGAGATCTGTGATTTGAAACTAGTCAGGGTGAATCCAGAGGCTGTGCACATAAACACTATATAAAAAAAAAAAAAAAAAAAAAACCACTGCACCAAAAAAAACAACCCACTCAGGGAAGGTAGAGAATTAATCCACACCTGGCCACTCAGCCCATGTGTTTCAAATCTGAATATATGAATAATCCCATCAACTTTTCATCTTATTTCCTCTGTGCAGACACAATCTAAAAACACCACCCTCAATCCATTTTTATTCTTTCTATCTATACCAATGTATTAACATTTGCCTCTTCAAAACCATATAATGAAATGAACTTGCACTTTATGGACGAAGCAAAATGTGAATGATTCAGTCACACAGTCAACACCTTTGAATTAAACTCTCCTAACATGTTTTCACTTTCAAAATATGACAAGTAAGGGTCAGGCAATTCAAATCTCCCTCCCCCTTTCCCAGCACCTCCACACTGAGAACATTTAATGGTTACTTTTGTATGTTGTGTCTTGCCAGTTGGTTCAATTTAGATGAAAGCTGTTGTTTTCTAATTCCATTTCACTGTAAATGACAGAGACAAATGGTCATATTACCTCGAGAGTTCCTTTGGCAGAATAGGCTGCATATGAGGAGAGCAGATCTTGGCTGCTATCTTTCCTGGCTTCTTCGCCACATGGCTGGCCATTAGGATGAAAGCACTGGCCGCTGCTCCTCAGAGTCACGGTGCTAGGAGAAGGGCCTGGCAGATTAAGCAGCACAGAGTAATTTCCAAGCTGTACATCTTCTAGGCCTGAAGATGTCCACAGAGTCTTAAGCTTCTTTGAAATTTCTGTGTCGTCTTCACTTTTATAGAGTTGGACCAAATTTCTGAAACAAATTTAAAAAGCATGCTTTAAAAAAAGAAAATCTTTATTCTTTGGAAATATGACTGTTCAACAAAAGAATAATTATTCACAGATATTGTGGGATACTGAAAGATGAACGAGGCAGGACCCTCCCACAAGAAGCTTATAATTTGGTAGAGGTGATGTACTTGTATACAGAAATTACTCTAACAAAGAGGAAGGAATTAAGTGCTTAAATCAAAGAACTGAAACAGCACTATGGGAGTGTAAGAAAGGGAGCTATGTATGCCAGCTAGTGCTTCTATTATTTCTCTTCCCTCTGTCAAAGTCAACATAATCCACTTAACACTCAGTTCCTGTGATAGGGAACCCAAGGTTGAGTAAGGATATTGTTGATGTGTTGTGAGATTGTTAACCATTGTCATAGCGCAACATTTGTAGTAACTGTTAAATGAGAA